AGGGAGAGGCCAGAAGATCAGGGTGGAGACCACCAGACCAGATGTTTCTGACCCCAGGGTAAATGACGTCATGGAGAAATCTGGTGGTAGCTGATGAGGATTGAAAGGGGGGTCAAAAGCCCCCAGATTTAGTATAAGTAATAGAGCTGATGAACAGGGATTCAGCCAGCAGAAACAAGGATGCACTGGAGCTGGAGAGCCTGATGAGGACCTGGCATCCCATCACTGTCATCGTTGCCCGATCCTCTGTGTGATCCTCACCGCCCTCAAACTCTACCGCCTCGTCTGGACCCTGGTGAGAGCCGCAACTTGTCCCTGCGGCCCTCTCCTCAACCAGTCGTCCACTCCACCCAGGAGAAGCCTGCCTTGGTCCGGACCTGGTCGCCGCGGTCTGAGTGAGTGTGCATCTGCTGGACGGAAAGCCTGAGGCTTGAGACTCTTGAGCTGAGCACGCAGAGGGAAGGTCTGTCACTAGCCTGGCATGATTCAGTGTGTCTGCTGTGCTTAGAGTTAATTGAGAATTGTTTGCCGTGAACTGATCATGTCTATGGCAGTGCCCAGCATTAAGGATTGTCATTTTCTTGATTAAGAACCTATAGAGTGAAGTGGTATTGAGTGATTTGAGTGAATAAAGCATGGAAAAGGGCAGAAATGTGTGGACATTCTTTATTTCTCCTCCTTGACTGCATATGTCACAATTTTGCCCCCTTGTGACAGGATTGAACCCAAGGGTGTTTAATGGCTGAGCCACATCCCCAGTTCTATTTATTTTTGAGACAGGGTCTCGCTAAAGTTGCTTAGGGCCTCCTTAAGTTGCTGTGGCTGGCCTCAAACTTGGGATCCTCCTTCCTCAGCCTCCCTAGTTGCTGGGATTCCAGGCATGTGCCCCCACACCCAGCCCAGCAAAACCTTTCTTAATGAGGTCCCGCATCCAGAGGTTCCTGCTCAGCCTACATCCTGCCTGATCAACCGTGGGTGCTGACACAGGTCTGTCCCTTCCTCAGCTCCCAGGATGCCACACCCTGTGGGCCTTACTCTTTCAAAGCAGGGGTGCCTGGGCCTGCCCGCGCCTCCCCCTCCCTCATGCCCTGGGGCATCTCACGTGGGTTTTCTGCTGCACTTGGCCCATTGGCTTCCTGCATCCCGCAGGAGTGTCACCCACACGGGGCCCTGGTCTTCCCCGTCTTCCTAACTCGTGCCTTGTTATCCCAACTCCTACGATGAACGCACGGAGGGTCCAGTGACAGGTGGGCAGACAGAAAGCAGAACAGGCAAGGGGATGGACAGGATGGCAGGCCACCAGGCAGAGGGACAGGATGACAGGAGGCTCTTCCCGCTGATGCCAGCACCGTCTCCTGTCCCTGCAGGTGGGTGGGAATTTTCGCCCTCTGCCCATCTCCATCCCTGGGACTGGACTTGATGTCCACTCAGGGGACACAGCCTGGTCGTGGACACAAGCCTTGAACGGTGGATCTGGCATCTGGAACTCATGGTGCCGGAAGCTGAGCTCACTGTTACCAGGGGCCTGTGTGGCCTGCGGCTGTGACCCTCTGGGGACGGATGGAACCTGAGCTGTTCCGCCAGCCGGAGGCGGCAGGGTCCTGCGGCTCAGCCCGGCTGCGCTGCCCTCCCTGAGAGGCCAGGCCTGCAGGCCCCAAAGCCTGCGGGCAGCTCTCAGACCTGACCGGCCCCTCTGCAGTGTGCACTGGACCCTCGCTGTGGGCCTGTTGGTGGACAGCTGTGCCGAGGAGCTGAGGGTGGCCAACGGGAGCCTGTGTGTCCTCTGACAGGCACTTTGCCTGGGCTTGTCAAGCTGCTGACATTCCTGTGGGCACCTGGTATGTCCTGGCTTCTGTGGCCAGCTGGAGGAACGGACGTAGCAAAAAGACTAGTGAGACCTGGGCCCAAGACTACTACATCCAGTTGTTCAGGCTGTGAACTGCACAAAAAATATCTAGTCATACCTTGGGGTCTGACAGCCCTGGGGGAGGTGGGTTTTGGAAGAAAACAGCTCTGGGGGACTGATAGGCCATTATCCTGCCCTGGGGGCCTGGTTCTGACCCTGGGGGTGGGGATGGTGGTCCTGATGCTGATTATCTCCCCCCCCACCCCCACCCCCGTCTCCTTGCTCTAGATGCATTCTGCCCTAAAACAGCCATCAGGAGACAGTGCTGACCTCTGCAGGGCCAGCTGTCCACGTGAGGAGGCACCTCTGGCCTGCCACTGCCCCTGACTGAGGGCTACTGCTCAGTGGTGGAGTGGTGTCCACCTGGCCCTCTGGGGCTGCCCCTGGCTGCGTCCTGCCTCTGGGGTGCCACAGCTGTGTGAGTGCGAAGAAGCCGGGCAGCCACCACTGCTGGCCCCAGGCTTGAGCAGAGGGGACAGCATGCCCCCTGCGCACTGGACCTGGCACTGAGGAGTCCTGAGAGGCAGCAGCTGGGTGTCAGGTGACCCCCGTGACCACCCTGGTGGTGGGGCAGCCCTCACAGCCCAGGGAGCCTGCTGGCCCAGGGACACGGGCTTCACGGTGTGGGGGGACAAGGAGTGCTGAGCCCCACGGCCAGCGGGGCACAGCGACAGAGGAGCATGTCACGAGTGACGGTGATGGTGGACGCCCTTGGGGGGGTCAGTGAGCCTGCGGGGGCACTGAGCCCCAGTCCCAGAAGGGCAGGCTCAGGCTAAGGGGGACAGGGTCCCACCCCGAAGGTTCTGAGGGAGTCGCAGAGTCCAGTGACGTCACGGTCCCATCTGTGCCCATCTGGCCCTTACACCTGGCTGGTGGCCTGGAGCATGTCCACCTCCGTGGTTCTGGGGCAGTGCTGCAGACGGTCACAGGCCTCCTGGTCTCCCAAGACAGGCGCATGTCCATCAAGGTACCTGGGACTTGCATGGGCACCCGCTGTGGCCTGCATAGGATCCCAATGGCTCCCCGCTGTCCCACACAGTGGCCTTCATGCTCAGCAGGAAGGACCGGCCCTCTCCAGCTGGCTGCTCACTCATGGGCCCTGCCTCTCTGTGCCCACATGACAGAGAGGGCTGGTATTGGTCAATGGCCTTCAGTGGGCTGCTGGTGGCCCGGGATGAGCCACGAAAAGCCTGGGACAAGCCCGTGGAGGCATGGAGAGCCGTGTCTGCCACCTCTGTGCCGCAGGAGGTTGGTAGCAGACCTTGTGTGAAGCCCTGGGACCTCTGCCCAGCAGTGCCAGGCCCGGCCTCCCCTGCAGCCCTGGAGCGCCCAGCAGACTGCGGCCAGGGGCACCTGCTCCAGGTCCCATCGTGCCCTTGGCCTTCCCCGCCCTGCCAGCCAGCGCCCTTCGGCTTGCAGGCTATAGGAAGCCACGTGGGCACTAAGCGGGTGGCTTGCATAATTCATGGCGGCAGAGTGGGCAGCAGGCCTGGCTCCACCAGGCACTCTTGGCTTCAGCCCCACCCAGTCTCTCGGTGACACCACGTTGGCGCCACATCCAGGAGGGCTCTCTCTCCCTGAGTACATCTGGCGGCCACTCAGGTTTCTGCCCAAGAGGAAGGACAGTCTGTGTGTCCCGGAAGCCGCAGTGTAAGTGGGCGGACTGGATGGGCTCCTTTGCAATCGGTCAGGAGGCCAGGGGAAGGAGGCCAGAGGAAGGAGGCCAGGGAACGATTCTCCAATCAGCTTCTGACGGCCCCCAGCCTCTGCCCCTGGGGAGATCACCTGGCAGAGGCTGGGATGAGGTTCGGCAGAGGCCATGGGTACTGGCTGGAGCCCAAAGGACAAATGTCCACTCGCCACCCCCATCCTTACCCCGCTGCCAAGTGATCTTTGTGAAGATCATGAGGCAGTTTTCCAAACGTTTTGGGGTGGAAACCCACAGTACCAAACACAGTCAGGGGTGAATTTTCTATGTCTTCTGTAACAAATTGCCACAAACTTGGCAGCTTAGAGCCACCCAAATGTACCATCTTGCAGACTGTAGGTCAGAAATCCAACGCGGTTCTCATCAGGGCAAGTCCAGCTGTCACAGGGCTGCGTCCCTCTCTGGAGGCCCTGGGGAGATCACTGCCTCGCTCTGCAGCTCAGCGGAATTCGTCTCCTGGCCGATACAGAACCCGGCCCCTGTTTCTTTGCGGACTGTAAACGGCGGGGGTGGGGGGGCTGTTCTGGGCAGGAGGCCCCCGCCTGCTTTTTCAAAGCCGCTGTGGGTGTCCAGTGTCTTCTTCCTCTTTGTGATCCTCTTCTGCCTCCTCCTTCCACTTTTAAGAGCCCCTGGGACTGGGCCCATCTGGACAATCCAGAATAATCTCTCCCCTTTCAAAGTCTACAACCTCAATCACGTTTACAAAGTTCTTTTTGCCCGTGTAGGACAGCACATTCGCAGGACCTAGCAATCAGGCCAGGGACATCTCTGAGAGGTCATTATTCCACAGACCACACCAATATATAAAGTGTCCCCAGACAGGAAGGAGGGCTCGCACACTTTCCATTGCATTCTTTTCTTACTCTGTTTCTCGGTGAAAGCAAGGGATGCCCCACTTATGTTCAGCATCAAGGACGAGAACATGGACTGCCTTGGTGAGCCTCTTAGCATCAGCACTTTCTAGCTGTGTGGTCTTGGGCGAGTCGCTTAACCTTTCTGTGCTCACTTTTCCTTTTAACAACATAGCAGGAGTGAGGTTAGTAGTACCTACCCTGGTAGGTGGTTGTGAGGATCTGATGAACAGCTCCTGGCAATACAGCGAAAGCGATGTAAGTATGAGATGTTATTATTAAGTTGATTTTTACACATCCCATTAAAGAAAGACCCTGCGTTGTCACTCAGCCACCAGATGAGGACCCCAGCGCTGCCCTGAGTCGCTGTCGTGGGAAAGGCCTGAGGACAGCCCAGCCCAGCCACTCCCTGGTCCAGGAGGCAGAGGGCCACACAGCCAGCATGAGGCAGGGAGGGGTCGCTTAGGGTCTGACCTCACACTGGGGGATGCTGTGGACGTGACAGTGACAGAGAATGGCCCAGCCTGTCCTCCCGGGGCCCACATGCTGTCCCCAGACAGGGACGGCCCAGGATGTGGGGGCTGTGGTGGGGAAGTCAGGGAGTCAGATAGGAAACTTGGGGGTACGTTGGAGCCCGGAAAAGGAGCTGGCCCTGCCTGGGGAGTCAGGAGGCGTCCAGAGGAGGGACATCTGAGACGAGGCCCGAGGGACAAGTCAAAGTCAGATGGTAAGGGAGAGGCAACTGTTCCGGGAAGAAGGGACGCGTCCTCAGAAGCCCGGAGCCGAGTGCAGTCAAGTCAGAGAGGGGACGGCTGGGGAGAGGCCTGGAACGGCAGGCCAGGAGTGAGGACTGTCTTGAGGCTTTGACCCCTGACCCCCGGCACTCCAGGCCAGTGCCTCCAGTCCCACGTGCCTCCCAGAACAGGAAGTGAGCTCAGCGGGCCCCAGACAAAGCCTCCTGTCGGGAGGGAGCGGCCACCGCAGGCTCCCAAGGCCAGGGGAAGGGACTGGCGGTGGGCGGGCTGGGGGACAAGCCCTGGGCTCGGTCCACGCTTCCTGGCAACAAGGCGATCATGAACTGAACACCGGCTCAAGTGCCAGCCTGGGGTGTGGACACTAGGGACACAGCAGTGACCAACACAGACAAAATCCCTGCCCCGACGGAGCCGCGACCCAGGGGAGAAGACAGAAGGCTCCCAGGAAACACAGAGACTAGACAACACGTCTGCAGGGTGAGGCAGGGTCCAAGGGAGGGCCCCGGCCAGGTCACAGGTGGCAGGGGGCACTTCCCTGCCCGGGACTCCCGGAGCCCAGACTGAAATGAACTTGGAGATGAAAAATTCCCGGGTCCCTCCCCAGGTCATTTCTCCTCCCTGATGTCCCTTGTTCATCCCCGCCACACAGCACACACAGACTCACACACCCTCTGCAGCCATCTCTCCCCCACCAGGTCTTTTCCCTAATCTGTGAAAACCCCAGAGCTGGTGGTGGGTTTGTCCTGGTCTCCACGGGGTCACTGGTACCTGGCACGTGGCCTTCAAAATGATGAGACTGCACTAGACTCCTGTCCAAAGCCATCTGTGGGTGCCCGCTGCTGCTGGAGTGAAACTTGACCTTGGTGCCTCCTCCTAGAGACCCCCCACGGGACGCCCGCCCTCTGGCTCCCTCCCTCCAGCCACACCAGCCTCTCCACGGAACATTCTAGAACTCCACCCCCCACCTCTGCATTTGCTCTTCCAGCTGCCTGGAGTGCCCGTGTCCAGAGATCGACCACGGGGCTGGCTTCACGCCTCATTCAGGACCTGCCACTTCTGAGAGGTGGCCTCCCTGTTCATGGTACCCAAAGAAGCCCCCTGAGCTCAGTCCCTCTTGATTACAGGACCCAGTTTCTCCATCTGAAACCATCTTTTCTTTATTATTCATTCCTTACACACTCCCCCCTCTAGGTCAAGGTCAGCTCGCTGGGCCAGGCGATGAATATTTCAGCTGCTCTGGGCCTCGCTGGGCTGTAACTACTCAACTCTTCGAGACATCCCTGGGCTCAGGCAGAGCTGGTCCACGTGCTTAACCAGGGCATCTGGAAGCTGTGTCTGTACCTGGGCTCCATTTTCATTCCGTTTCAGCCATGGCCAGTCCACCTTGGGAGGACAAAGATGGCGGTCAGCTTAGCAAATGCCTCTGGAGAAAGAGCATCTTTTCCTGAAGCAGCCATCCACCACGCAGGAGCAAACACCCTGGATTAAGTCAAAATGTCGTCACGGGCACCAACATTTAAATTTTACATGATTTTCACACTTCACAAAATATCATCCTTGTTTTCCTTTGGTCCCCGCCGACCATTCAAACATTAGAAAAGCTATTCTTAGGTTGTGGGCTGTGACTCACAAGTGGTGGGCCAGAGGGGGCCCCAGGGGAGTAGCTTATCAGCCTTTGCTCCAAAACAGCTGCCCCCTGAGGTCACAGATTTCTAACTGTCTGGGTCACTACGGCATCCCCAGTCTCTCGAGTGCCCCTGGCATGGAGGGGCTGCCCAGTCAAAACCAAACAAACCAACGCTACAGAGAAGGGCTTCGGTACATGTATTAATTCTTTCAACAAATATTCATCGAGGGTGCCATGGAGCTGGGCCCTGGTCTCTGTGGTGCATCTAATTCTGTCCCTCCAGAACTACCCTGCGTTCCTCACAGTCACTGTGAGCTTGGTGGCTCCTCCTGTCTGCTGCCCGACAGCTGCCCCATGCTGTGCCAGCAGGGCACCAGTGTGACTTGGCTTTGTGCTAGTGGCACTGACTGCTTGTCCCCCATCCAGTGAGTCTGCTCCATGGAGGGCACTTACCACCTGGCTGGGGAGGCCTGAGCAGGGAGCACCGTGAGAAATTCTGCCCTCCTCCATGGGCCTGGGTGAAGCTGTGGGACCCTTAAGGGCACTTTTGGGTGCTGCACACTGTCCCCTGGCACCTGCCATGCAAATGGGCCCTTGCACGTTATCACCTTTGACGGGAGTCCCGTAGAGCTCCCAGGCAGCTGCGTGCCTGTCCTGGCCAAGTCTGTGACTCTCTGGCTCAACGCCCTTCTTCAGAGTAGAACTGGGCAAGGACAGGCCCAACCTCCCTGTCACACTCATCTCAGAAGCACGACCCAGGTCCACCTGCAGAGGGACAGCCCAGGCATGGCTCAGGTAAGTGATGGCTCTGGAGGCAGGGGACATAGGGTTCTTAGGAATCCAAGCCCCTCACCAAACCCACAGCCCCAAAGGAAAAACTTCTGTTCTCTCCAGTATTTCCCCATTACCCTCCATCCTCAATGACACACACTTTTCTGTCTGTATCCATCAGATGCATCTAGTTTAAAATGATGGAAATAGTCTTTGGATCAGCTTAAGGAAAAAACAAGGAATTTATTGGTTGACATAATTGAAAAACAATCAGGACATCCCGGGGTTCAGGCAGGGCTGGGTCCAAGGGCTCAACCAGTGCATCTGGAAGCTGTGTCTGTTTCTAGGCCCTATTTTCTTTCAGTTTCAGCCATGGCCAGTCCACCTTGTGAGGACAAAGATGGCGGCCAGCTTAGCAAATGCCTCTGGAGAAAGAGCATCTTTTCCTGTAAAGTCCCAGGGCTGGCCCTCATTGGCTCAGCTTAGGTCATGTGACCATCTCACATGACTAAGTCTCTGTGGACTGATTGGACGGGCCTGGGTTATGTGCTGGGAGTTAGGCTGGGGTTGACTTCCTTCCTGTGAACCATAGATATTGCAGGGACAATTTCTAAAGGAAATCCAGAGCAAGACAAAAAGAACGCTGAGCAGAAAGAACAAGAAGTGGTTATTATTGTAGTTCTATCTTCGTCTCTTCATTTAAACATATTTTACATGCATTTGAGCACTTACTATGAGTCATGTGACATTGACCCAGACCAACGTGGTCCAGCTCTCCTGAACCACAGTCTTTGACTCGGTCTGCTCCTTAGGTGAGTGGTGAGACAGTAGCCCACCTGTAAGCTCTAGTGGGGACAGCCTTGTCATTTCCTGGAATGGCCTCTTCCTCATGCTGTGGTTGGACTTCCGCCTGTGGCTCACCACAAACCTCCTACAGCCTCACCTGCCCGCCCCAGAAGGGTCACACCTGTGGGTTCTGCAGCAATTTCCGTGGCAACCTAGCAACGATGCTGAATCCCTTGTCACCTTGGGGAAGCAGAGCAAGGCTTGTGGGGACGACTGTGGAGCTGCCTGTCCAGTCTGCAATAACCAGGAGCAGACTGTGTCTGCGAGGAGGCAGTGTGGGCTCCTGCAGGACCCCCAGGGGCCCCTTGTTCCCTGCCACAGGAGATCAACCTGGATCCATGTAGATCCAGCTGTGTCGGTGACGTGTGTCTTGCTGTGACTGCATCCTCTGCTTGGCCCTGCAGACATATGCTGCAGTCTGCCAGGGTACAAATGTCACCCTTGGGCACTGGAGAAATTCTTCCTTCTGTGGTAAGTCATGGTTGAGCCGGACATATTCTGGATATTACATATGGTCTTGCCAGTGGATCACAGACTGAAATACTTCTAGACCCCTGAGTTGCCCAAGTGCCACCAGCCACTTCCTGCATTCCAAAGCCTGGAAAGACAGGGGCTCCCAGATCTTCTGGGTAAGCTCGAGATCTTCTAAGGGGTGGAGCCTATATTCTACTGATTGCTACATTTTTTTTTGGTGGGGGCACCAGGGATTGAACCCAGGGGTCCTTTTACCACTGAGCCACATCCCCAGCCCTTTTTATATTTTATTTAGAGACAGGGTCTCACTGAGTTGCATAGTGCCTCACTGTTGCTGAGGCTGGCTTTGAACTCACGATCCTCCTGTCTCAGCCTCCTAAACTGCCTGGATTACAGGCGTGCACCACCGCACCCGGCTTTATTTATTTACTTTTTATAAAACAAGCCTCAGATGTTGGGTCAATCTGTAAATATTCCAACATGATTCTCTAATAGATTGGACTTCAGAAAGAATAAAAATTACCAGGATTTACTCACACCTAACAGAAGGAGGAATAATTTCTTGGTAGCATGAAAAACCTAGTCCTTCTGATCCTCCTTCAAAAGTCTTTCTTTCCTTCCTTGTGCCAGAGCTGTTGCTGGCTCCCGGGTGCAGATGCCCCCACTCCCCAGGTTCTAACATTATTGGGGCAATAGGGGCAGGGCAGGTTCTCTGGGGACGGCAGCTCCTTGGCTCAACCAGGGCACCAAAAGCCTCCACAGAGCCATCCTGAGGGGTCAGGACACCCCTAAAGCCAGGCCCTGTCCGTGATCAATGTGAGTGTCTGACACTCAGCCTTTGCCCCTCAGAGGCGCTGGAGTTGGGGTAGAACGGGGTTCATGCAGCGGGAAAGGCAGACGGGGGCTCTTTGTGAAGTAAGAAGTCAAGTTCACCCGGGCCCTCAGCATGCACCTCTGCCCCAGTCTCCTAATTTAACTTAACCCTCAACACAGGTACGAGGTCGGTATTCAAGAGCCGATTTGCCAGAGGAGGGGACTCAACCCCAACAACAGGAGCTGGTGGCAGACAGGTCAGGGATTGGAAGCCCCCGGGCAGGGAGCTAAGAGCTGCGAAGCCCAGAGCCCTGTCCTCCTCGCCTGCGTTTCCCCTGCCTGCCCAGCTGCGAAGCTTCCAGAGCACAGCGGCTACCAGCTCTGCGCACCAGGGGCTCCGCCTGCCCAGCTGTGCCAACCCCACTCGGCCCTGCCTGCATGGAGGGCTGTTCTTGTGATGTGTGCACCGTGGACACTGCGCCTGCGCACACGGTGGCCGCACCTGCCAAGTGAGCCAAGGGCTGGGCCTTGCTCCAGTGAGTGGGACTGGCCGTCCCGGGGGATCACAGAACCCCAGGACACGCTAGGTTGCCCAATCCAGGATGGCACGCTGGGAATTGATCGTTGTCTCTGTGGTTGCTGGAATTATTGATCTACTGCGATTGATGTTTATTAAGCTCATTCTCAGTGCACAGCCTGAGATGCTGAGTGCTTAATATTATTACTATTGTTAGCATCACTGGTTTTTAAAAATTAACTAGTATTTAATGGGTTCCTACTAAATAGTTGGCCCCCAACTCAACAATGTGATGGTACAACAATATCAATAAAAAAACCAATAATTACAACAGTTAATATTATTTAGCATTAATACATATAAAACTGTATTAATAATACAGTTTTAATAATAGTGAGTTACTATGTTGATGTAAGTGAGTTACTATGTTGCTGTTATTGTTGTCCTTATTTCATTTCATTTTATTATTGTTTTTTGGTACCAGGGATTGAACCCAGTGGTGTTCAACCCCTGCGCCACATCCCCAGCCCTTTTTATTTTTTATTTTGAGACAGGGTCTTGCTAACTTGCTGAGGCTGACCTCGAACTTGCCATCCTCCTTCCTGAGCCTCCTGAATTGCTGGGATTACAGTGTACACCACCACGCCTGGCTGTTTGTGTTACTTTAATCACCAAATTTTGACCCCTGACCCTATGTCATTTCCTATACTGCTACTACTAATTAAAATGTATTGGTCATTTAGTTGGTATCCATGTCCAGGCTAAGTATTTTAATAGTAGTTATAGTAATAATAATAATAAAAATAATAATAATGCATGGTGAGCATTATTAAATGATAATGATAAGATTATAATGCTCAGTATGTCCTAGGCATATATTATGATTCTGTAATAATCATTATACACACACACACACACACACATATATTATATAATGATAATAGCAGCAAACATTTTTGGTCACTTACTACGTGTATGATTCTGTCACCATAGTAACAAGTCATATTTTCGGAGAGCTCATCCTGAGCCAGGCACTAGGCCAGCACATTCGCCACAGTATCAGCTGACGTAAGTCAAGGGCGTGCTTGCCGTGGGCCGGCGGCTGCTGAACGCCTCCCACACATGATCACACTGGCCCTCAACACAGTGCTCATTGCCCAATTGGAGAGAGAGAGAAACTGAGGCTACAGGATGCCCAGAGCCCTCCGGGGACAGAGCCAGGTCTGGACCCTTCACCACGGGGCTGTGCTTTCAGCTGAGGGAAAATGGTCTTCACAAGTTTGCTGCCTGCTTGGCAAGGAGGTGACCACAGGGTCCAGCCCGCCGTTGTTGATTGAACATCCCTGCGTTCTTGCCCAGCCCCAAGCTAAGCAGCCTTCCACCTCTGCTGTTTTGGACCCACCCCCAGCTCTGCCAGTTCAAGTCTGTGCACAGGCAGAAGATGCCAGTCTGAGTTGGGAGAGCAACCTGGCTGCATCAATGCACCTGTAGCTGCAGCTGTGA